CATTACACCAAATACACAAAATAATGTTATTTTTAGCAACATCATATGACCCCTTTAATCTTAATTATTTAACAGTGGAAAATCATTCAAAATAATTTAAGTTCATACTGTTCATTATAATGTCACTTGTAATCTTCACAAGATTAATTGTAGTTAAGTGTTTTATCTTTCATTTATTTAAAAGTAATATTAATAGAAAAATAAAATATGTAAAAAAAAGAAAAAGATTTTTTGACATAAGTTATAAAACTGTCAAATATTTATTGTTTTTTTTTATCAGCTTATCAGTATTAAAATAATTTATAATTAAAGTAATTTATAAAATTTTAATATACTGTATATGGTTGCTCCGACCTTGTTAACATATGGTTGCTCTTACCTTGAATACTGGCTACATAGTTTAACAGTATAATCACTAAGTATATGCAGTGGTTTAATCCTGGTTCATGCTTGTTCAAATTCTTTTCCAGTCACCACTTCCTTTGCTTTGTGTTTTTGAATCAATTAGTTATATTGCTTGACCTTTGACATAAGTTAGTTTGGTTGGGGTGTTATTTATAACTGGAGGTCCTAACGACTCTTGAGTTTGTTTATATCTCAACTTGAAGTAGCTACTACTAGTTAATAGAATGTTAATAAATGTTAATAGAACTCCAAACCAGACCCATTGCCTGTAATCTGGAAAACAGATTTAGGACTTTTCGTCTGCAGCTACAGGCCATTAAGTGGATAAAATCAGATTCCATTTCAACAATGTCTCCTCAAACTTATTATTGGTGAACTTCCAAAAGTGTTAAACTGATTGTTTTACTTGGCCATGTGCCTTGAGATGTATCTTGCCAGAATTCAGTATAAGAACAGGAAGGGGGTTGATTGCCATGCAGCCAGCTTCCTCACTAGTCATTTTTAAATTCGGCAGAAGACAAAGTAGACGACATTCAAAGAGTCTTTTTCCTACCCATTGGCTTTGCCAATGGAGCTGCTGTGAGGAGAGGGTAATGGAGAGAGAGCTGAGAGCTGTGCCTGTCACGGCATTACTCTTACACAGCGTGACAGAGAGAGAGAGAAGGACGAGAGAAGGAGAGAGTGAAAGAGCTGCCTCTTCTTAGAAGCATTAAAGCCATGTCTGTGGGTGACGATGGAGATGGTGAGTGCGTTTATATATTAAGTAGTCTAGTTGTGTTGTTTGTGTACATGAGGTTTACGGTATGCATTATGCTCTGTTTATTTGAATCTGATGCAAGTAATGGGGACGATGCAGAGTTATTGTCCAGAAAATACTCTCTCCTATTGGTAATCTGCATCTCTTTCAATTTATAATTTGCACTTCCGTTAAAATGAGTGTACCTACTTGTCCTTAACGTCTAAACAATGGAGTTTAATCAGAATATATTGTATTATATATATATATATATATCTCTCTGTGATATACTAGTTATATTGGTTTATGTGTCAGTGGGTTTTGTCCCTAGGGAGTTCAAGTGTGACCCGCTTTGTAGGGCATTTCGTTGCTCCGGCTACCCATTATTAGACTCTTCAGTTCTTGCCCTGTAAATTGAAGTACAGCAACTATGAGATGCTGTGTCTGTTGACTATAAACGAAGCGTTAATGCTTTTGAGTACTTATGTTCGATATTGTTTTGAGTTTTGTTGGACTTATTGCACAAGTTGCTCTCTGGCTGTTCTTTTTTCAGTGTAAATTGCTTTGTTTCCTTCTCTCCGTAATCCTGATAACCAGATTAAATAGCTAGTTAAGTTACGGATTGACCAGTGAGGATTTAGACATCAACACTCAATCACCCACCCTCCAATAAGCAATATGGTGTCAATGGCAGTTAGACTGACAGTATGTGTTTATCCAGGTCAGTTTTGAGTGAGAAATGCATCACATACTAGTGTGTAGTCAGTCTATTTGATTTTAAATGACCTCTGCTGTGTTACATATTCCTATTCTTCATAACTGGCAATATGTTGGTAATGTGTTATTATATCGATAACTGTGTCACATTAACAATATTACAATTATTTTATTAAGAATTTATATATTGCAATCGTTTCCTTCCTAGAATGATGCTTTGTAAAATAGAATCTTAATTTTTTAGTGTATATAGCATTCAAATTTTGGTCGAATATAAATAATTGAATGTGCGTTGACTTACAACTGCAGAACATTTCAGTGATGTCCCACAGACTTAATTGCATGACGGGCAGTCTTTTCGCCAAAATACTGTAAGAAATAGAAACTGTAAGTTTAGAAACTGTTTTAGGTCAAATATTGCTTTGGAAAACACTTATTTTTGAAAAATATTTCCCCCATTCCTACTACTAATAATATATATTATTATCTAAGAAAAAAAAAGAAAAATATGAAAGTTGCTTCTCTGATTTCAGCTGGCCATTTTGGGCACACCAAATTTTAAACCAATGTAAATTTAGCCTTTAATTCTTCTTATTAATTATAATAATTATAATGAAAAATTTTAAAACACTCCAGAATTCAGCCATTTTTGGCAGACCAAAATTCAAACCAATGTGATTCATCCTTATTATTATTATCATTATTATTATTAAAAGATGAAAAATATAAAAGATACTTTTTTTAAAAATTTGATTTCAGCTAGCCATTTTTGGCAGACTAAAATTAAAGCCAATGTGATTGTCTTTTTTTTTTTTTTTAATCTCTCAAAACCACTGATGCGGGCTGCTCTTGTTGTCATGGCAACAGCCTTTTTAGAGCGGCCAGCTCTCTCTGTCTTGCTCCTTCCTTGCCTTTTCTCCCTTTTACCTCCGTTTCCCTTCAGCATGTCCCCACTTTTTCCCCTCTCTCTCTCGCATCCTGTTGCTGTTTTGTTCCTTTTGGCTTGTATCAGTCTCGCTTGATCTTGCTCTCATTGGCCCGTCCTTGTTGGATTGTTGTTCACACCCTCCCGTCTGAACAAAGAGTGGGTTATGCTACTATGCTAATAATGCTAAACACATAGGCTGGCACACAGAGCCCTTTCAGCCCAGCTAGTGGGGTCAGCATCCATAATGTGTCAGTGTAGTCAGCCTTTGGCTTAGTAACGGGGTCACAATGCAGATTGCCCACAGACACACACACACACACACACACAGACTTTAATATCCAAAAACCACATCTGAGCTGTAGGGGTGTGGCCTTCGTTCTCATCTATATTTGCACATTTTATTCATCCACAATTCCCCTGTGTGTGTGTTTGACCATGAATGTTCGTTTAAACTAAGATGATCTTGCAGCATCATGATGCTAAAAAGCTTAGCTTGAGCTCCAGACAAAACAAACCTCATTGACATGCAAGAAGCATCCTCAAATCTCAAAGCTCACTGGCTGGTTAAAGATGATGTCATCACTCTCCTGATTGGCTCTTCGGGTGCTGGGAAGGAGGAGGGACGGTGCAGAGCAAAGTGCGAGGGAGTGATGGAGGAGACGAGGGGGGATGGAGCGAGAGAGTAATTGAGAGGGAAGATGCCGAGCAGCTTTTGGGTGGTGGTTTCTGTGAACCGTGCTACGTGGCTTGCTGATCCGTCTCGGGATATTTCGGTGCCGTGAGAACCGCTGTCATGTGAGCGGCAGCTTGGGCGTTGCCTCGGATACGAGAGAGAGCCACGCCCGCCTTCAGGCATGAGGCGCCTCATCTGCAAACGCATCTGTGACTGTGAGTGTCTTCTCAAGGTGTTTGACATGTTTCTGGTGTTTCAAATGAATGTTGATGTCAGAATCAGTGCAGATATAGGGTGTTGCCCAGGTGCCGTGGAGATTTGGGGCGTTTTTAATAGCCGGTAGATGAAACGAAAGACTGTGTGTGTTCTTCTAGCCTTGCTTTTTACTGGATGTGCCCAATCTGGTCTTGTGTGTGGGTGGCTTTGTGGAATCTTTGAGTTGTGCAGGCATTGCTCTTTGTTTGTGAGTGTGTTTGAGTGATTTATGTTACCTATACTTCCTGTTTTTGCTGTTCATTAATTGATGGGCCTCTATTCGGTTCTTGTTCTGGGCTGGTCATTGATTACTTAAGATGATATTGTGGTTGGGAGGAAATCAGACATGTTCTTGCCTTACTTGATGATATAATCCAAAGACCTATTGGGTTTCAGTGGGAATCGATTTGTTTATTGATATATTCTGATTTATTTTGATATATTCCCTTCTTGTTCATTATTATTGACTCGGCTACACTGGAATGAGAATATGAGACTGTTGGTACAAAAATAAGTTGAATTTGCTTATCATTGTGCAGTAAGTCTATTTTGGAACAAAATTTGAGGCAATTGACCTCAGCTGGTCTATTTATATGCTACCTTCATGTTCAGACTTTGATAACCGATTGATTCATGCTCTCATTGCTTTTCTCAGATCGTAGTTTTGATGATGATGACTCTGTGGACGGAAGCAGGCCGTCATCGGCTCAGGCTGCATTTAAAGTGCCCAAAGTACCCAAGAAACCTGGAGACTCTGCCAGCAGTTCCAGACGACCCAGTGCCACTGGAGCTGCCAAGACAGGTGAGACAAGTGTGAGATTTCATTTACATATCCTAGGGTTGCAGAACAGTTCAGTCTTTAGCCTTAATGTTGTTTTTTTTATGCACGTTATCTGGATAAAATAAACACATGCTGTGCATTTTAAAAAGTCAAAATTTAAAATGAAAATCAGTTAAATAATCACTATTGACAGATTCAATTATTCTGTGCTGTCAGGAAGAATGTTATGTAATGGTAACTATATATGGGTGGAAATGGATGGAAATGAATTAGAAAAAATGGTTTATATTAAATAACCATGTGGTGATGCCTATTTTTAGACAATCCAGAAAAAAAATACTTCACACATGAAAGGTACTTTGTACTTTGATTTTCTCTTCTTATTTGGAACACGATGGACACAAACTAAAACATTACTCTTAACAAATTATTCAGTCTAGCATCAGTGCAAAAACAACTTCATATTACATAACAATGAGAACAAAGGACTAATATTATAAAATAGATTGTTCCAGTTTTAAATTCTAGTTTAATGAACCACGTTCAGAGCTGTTGTAAGATAGTGGATCTACAGACTCCTCATCAGTTCACAATGGCAAGTTGTGATATGCTTGGCAGGCATGAATTTATTGAGCTTTGCATTATGGTTAATAACTTAATAGCCAGTTTTTCAATGTCTTGACTTGTTTGGGACACGTTCTGCTGCATTACTGTTTGTTTTTGCATTACGTTTATATATGAAATATCTACTACAGTATAGAAAAAAAACCTACTGGTTGTAAAGTCATAAAAATAATCTCTGTTATTGTATGATATTTATACACTCTAACCATCCAGTCCTACAAGCTTGAAGGAAAAGCTGCCACAGAGATCAAAACATTGGTCATTAAACAAAACATTGACCATTAAAAAAGGCGTCTTAAGAGAAAAAATGTGGGCAGAGTGTTTTGTTTGCTTTTTATTTCAATGCAGTTCATGGAATTTGTGTAGCCGTATGCACTGATGCTTTTACAAAACAAAAAGTTTGCACAAATCCCTTTTTTTGGTTTCTATCAGCAGTTCACAATGAATTGACATTTTTGCTGAGGCTCATTACCGAGCTTTCAATTTCGAAAGGTCCACCCAAATTGCATTGATATGGGGTTTCATGAAGGCTGATTGACAGCTCACTGATGCTGATGTGTTAATCAGACTGTTCGGGTCTCCCTCCTGTGTGGCAGATCTTACAGCCCAAACCCCCTCTGGCCTTCATGATCGATCATTCAATTACATCCGGATAGGAAGACAAGACAGGAAGTCCATTAGGACTAAGAGCTGATAATGTGTAGGATAATTTTCTTCCCTCAGATAAGAAATGAACAGTCTCTGTAATCGTTTTGCAAAGTGCTATTTCACTGCATTTGGTGTACAGATTAAAAAATATATATATAAATACACACTCACATGTGTATAAATAAGTAACTCCCTCCCCCCACCCTCCTGTTTGACTAGCAATACAACAGTTGCCATAGGAATCCCTCATTGTGCTCAGTTTCTATGGCAACGGCTGCAACTGTCAGTTGTCTTCTAGAGTGATTGAGATTAAAAATGTCGCAAACAGTGTCAGACAGGTTCACGTGCCCTTCATAAACCTCATAGCTGTCTCGAGTTTGTTTGAATGGAAGTCAATCATGTGTTTTGCAGGTGTCTCTAAGGAGGTGGCAGGAGCTGTGGATGAGGAGGATTTCATCAAAGCATTCACAGACGTCCCCACGGTTCAGGTGAGACACACTTGCATATAAATGAGAGAGGTGTTACTCGGTTCCCTCAGAACCTAGTTACAAATCCACCCGTGGCTTTCATAACGTTCACGTTTGATCAAAGGCTTGGAATCATTTGATCTAAAACTCGTGTCTCTGTACGTCTCTCTCGTTACATAGATCTACTCCACACGAGACCTGGAGAATAATCTGAACAAGATCCGTGAGGTTCTGTCTGATGATAAACACGACTGGGACCATAGAACAAGCGCGGTGAGTACAACATACACAATTTAAGCATTCATGCAGGTAATAGCAACAGTGACCAAAGTAATATCAAAGATGGCGACGCCCATACAACTGAAAGTCTTATCACTTTCTGACATGACAAGAGTCCAATTGAGCCGCAAGTCAAATCTTCATTAACTGACAGCAGCTTTTATATTTGGGTGGAGAGCAAAACTTTTGAGTCGTGTGTAGAACACAAAACTGTAATGTTAGCGTGTAGAACACGGGAGCGGCTCCGGTGGAGACTGGATCTAAAACGTTCAGATGACACACAGCTCGTTTCTCATTCACTGCAGTTAGTGAAACCACACATGAAAACACGCAACACACGGTAAACAGCAGCAGAGCGGCTCTCTCTCGCACGGTATGACGTGACAGACAACCGGTTGTCCAGTGCTGTTCCGTTCACACATTTTCCAAAAATGCAGTTGTCATGCCTGAAAATAACCATGAACGTAACTGTATTAAGGACTTAAATACAGGACTGACAACCGTATTCTGCTGCTGTGTGAATGTGGCCACAGTTACATCTAGTAGTGTGGATACAGCATCACGCCAAACCACATTTGCAGTTACTAATGCCATGGTTAAAAAAATTAGCTTTTTATAGTTATCCTTTATGAATTGATCAGTTTAACTGTTATGACAGTTACCGAGATAAAGGAAGTCAGTTTGACTGGTCATGTGATCTCAACATGGTGGCCTACGTGAGAGGACCTGCTCTATGTGAGATAAAACGGTTTTCATTTAGGTTACTGATTTGACTGGAGTCTCCATCTATGTTTTATTGATTTATTTTTATTTAAAAGTTTTTAATGAGGAAAGAGTAAACAATTCTTCACTCAAATTTTTTCTGCTCTCTTTAACATCGTGATGAACCGGAAGTAGTGACGGATCTTTTCTTCCATATTGTGATGCACATCCAAGTGTAAAGGATTATTACAAAAAATGTAGAATGGAGACTTGGTTCTATTTAGTGGTTGTTGATTGGATTTTGAGATGTTGCCATTGCACTCAAAAATGAATGCAAGCTTGTAGTCAATTGTGGAGGGGCGGGGTTTAAGTGGACTAAATGATTGGAGAGGTTCTGTATGCATTACTAGAAGTTTATGAAATTTTGATAAATCATTACTAGGCCAAAAAAAAGAGAAATATATGCATGGATGAATTGTTCACAATAAGATCTATAATATGCAATCACAAAATAGGGTAAATATAAGCACATCGACATTATGTCTCCATATTCCATTTACAAGTAACTGAATTTGTTTCCTGAACAAATATTTGTTGAAATGTGGTATTATTAGTGTTTCCCATGAGAATGTCGAAGTTCAAGAGGTGATGATTGGGATGCACCAGACCTAGAATTTTCTTTGTGACCATACATGGTTTGTTCACACTTCATGTTTTAAACCTCTATTCAACATTTTATGGAAATGTAAGGAGTTTCCTGGCTTTTATGTAGTTTTGCTTTTGCATTTCCATTAATTTGTAACAAACCCTCTTTGATATGGTCTTGTTCCCTTTCTCTCTCACTCCACAGCTAAAGAAAGTCCGATCTCTGCTGGTTGCCGGGGCAACAGACTATGATTGTTTCTACCAGCACCTGCGTCTGTTGGATGGCGCATTTAAGCTGTCGGCAAAAGACCTGCGTTCCCAGGTGGTGCGGGAGGCTTGCATCACGGTGGCGTGAGTGTCTAATTGACATCTTAAACAATGTGAACTCGAGTCTCTGGCACTAGAACGTTTTATGTGCATAGTATGCAGATTATTGAGATCTGTTTTCCATCAGCCACTTAATTAAGTGCTGGAGACAAGGAGGTGACAAGCTTTTAGAGCAAAGTAATTCCCATTTCCAGTCAAATAATTTTTGATTTGTGTGTTCTTGCAGTTAGTTGCTTTTTGTCCATTGTAAAGAACACCAATTTATTGTGTCATTATGTTGGTGTCTTTGCAGGTATCTTTCCACACTATTAGGGAATAAGTTTGATCATGGTGCAGAGGCCATTGTTCCAGTGCTCTTCAATCTTATCCCTAACTGTGCCAAAGTGATGTCCACATCTGGCACAGCAGCCATACGCATCATCATACGGGTGAGAAACCGTGGTCTGCGTGAGTTTATTGTGTCTGACTGCACTGTGTCTGTGTGTTTGACTGTATGTTTTTGTATTTTCAGCACACTCATGTTCCACGTCTAATTCCTCTCATCACTAGTAACTGCACGACAAAGTCTGTGGCCGTCCGGAGGTGAGACGTTAAAACTACTTCAACACACTATAGCTGGGATAAAACAGAGGGCGAGCGATCGGATTTACTTTTTTTAATTGACTTTTGTCTGTGTGTGTAAACCCTGACATGTTTTTCCCAGGATTCTTTGATGAATCGAAAGCTCACAAGAACAGTATTTGTTTTTTAATAATGTAAAAGACTTAACTGGCACTTTTGATCTTTTCTTTAATGCAAGAAGTAAAACCTGAATGAATATTCATGAAAAATCAAGAATGATCAAAACTTGAATATTTTTTTCCCCCAGTGATTGTTTCTCACTACTATCTTAAATTATTTTTTCTATGTACAAATATTACAGTACATAATAATATAGAGCAACAATTATTATTTTTTCTCTTTTTACTAAACATTTTACAACATGTCCCCATATAAGGTAAACAAACAAATAACTAAAGCAGTGTTCAACTCTTTTAATTGAAATGGGCAGTTTGAAAGAACTGATTCATGGAAATGAGTCCAACGTCCCAACTCTTTTGCTAATGAAGATTCATACTTTCGAGTCAGGAATCTAGTCTGCTGGTGCAGTCTTTAAGAGATGTAACTGGCTAAATAAAAAGCACATTATGATGTTGTTTAATTTTAAGATTAAGATTTCCAACAAATTAATATTACAGTCTTTATAAATATATTGAATTTATCTCCCAGCCCTCCTGAGCCCTTGCCAAGTTTACAGACCTGTGTGAGCACATTCATTGCTGAATTCTCTTTCTTCCTCTCTCTGTCTGTCAGGCGCTGTTATGAGTTCTTGGATCTTCTGCTGCAGGAATGGCAGACTCACTCTCTGGAGAGGTACCACCACAGCGCAGACTAAACTACAGCTGCCTTGCCTACTGGTGTTGAAAGGCCAAAACTGCACCATATAACTGCTCTTTCCTCTGTGTCTCAGGCATGTGGCTGTGTTGATGGACAGTATTAAGAAGGGAATCAAAGATGCAGACTCAGAGGCTCGAGTGGAGGCCAGGAAGTGAGTGCCATCCTCAAATTACTTAATGTATTTAGTTTTTTGTGTTTTTTTTCTGATGTTGCTCTCTTGCAGGGCATACTGGGGGTTGCGGGCTCATTTCCCCGGGGAGGCGGAGTCTCTGTATAACTCATTAGAATCGTCCTATCAGAAGACACTTCAGTCGTATCTAAAGAGCTCTGGCAGTGTGGCGTCCCTGCCACAGTCGGATCGCTCGTCCTCCAGTTCGCAAGAAAGCCTTAAGTAAGAATATCTTACTCACCCTCATCTAACTACACCAGAGATCACCAGTAAACAGTGAATTTGAATAGGAGCTCTGTTTTTTCCCCTCTCTTTTTCACAGTCGGCCGCTGTCAAAGTGGTCAGCTGCTCCAGGCAGAGGTGAGATCCTTAGTGTGTGTGTGTGTGTGTACATGTCTTTGAATATGGGTAATTGATGCCTGTCATGTTCAGTGACTTTCTAAAAATTTATTTGTATATAAAAATTGTATTATTGAATTGAGGAAAAAGTCAAAGGTACAAGTAATCAATACATCAAAATTCTAAAGGAATTTTCAAAATATAAATTTAAATTTGAGTATTTATTGTAGTGAGAAAATGTTATAAAAATATAAATGTGAATATATATATAAATGTTTATTTTTAGTTTCCACTTTTCATGCTTCATTTAAATAAATTTTGCTTGCATATTTTGTTTGTGTGCTTGTTATTTTAGTGCCTGCCAGTTCAAAATCATCAGGATCTCCAGGCTCTTTGCAGCGTTCCCGCAGCGATGTGGATGTCAATGCAGCCGCCGGTGCTAAAGCCAGACACAGCGGACAGGCTGGAGTGGCAGGCCGAGTCACGACAGGCCTGGCCCCTGGATCATATGCATCTCTCGGTAGGAGCCAAATAAAGTTCATGCACAGTTTTACCAGGTTTTATTAACTCGTGAATATGCAAAAGAGCTCATACATGTGCATACACAGGCCCTTCACTCTTTCCTACCACATGCAATAGGAACTTATGTTAATTCTTCAAGGTTATGTGTGTGTGTGTGTGTCTGTGTGGTTGTTGATGTGTGTGATTCTGTTGTGAGTGTGTTTGTGTCTTTTATTCTAACTGGTTTGCTGTGCTCCTCTCTCTCTTCTTTGGCTTAAGATGATGCCTCTGATAAGGATATGTAACTCACGCTTTTCTACTATTTGTCTTTGAGTCGTTGTTCAGGATTTTTTGGGTGATTTATATATGTCTCTCATCTATATTGAATTATGCTAGGTAAAAAGTTGTTTGCTTTTCGTTGTAGTTATTTCAGTGCTTTGTAAGCATAATAGGGAGCCTGATCCTCTCAAACATAGTGGGTGGAGCTCTTTGTGTGTGATGTAGCGCTGTTGCCGTCTGCTGGTGGCGTGTGGTATTGCAAGAATATGACTCATCTGCCTTTCAGCTTGTGGTTGTGCCAAGTTGAATTGCTTCATTAAAAATCTCCCTTACTGATCTGATCCTCTCCTCTTATTCTGTCTATTCTGTCCCATCGTCTTTCCTTTAACTCAGTCATTAATATGTTTCCTCAATCACAGGTCTGGCCCAAGTGGGTGATTGTGGAGGGCCAGCGAAACACTCTGGAAATCTCTTTCACTTCTCAGTCATTTGTTGGTGTTTTTATGATTGGCCTGAGGTCTTACAGCATGTTTGTTTTTCTCCAGGGCGACTACGGACTAAGCAAACTTTATCAACTGCATCTAGTGTAGGGAGCAGTCAGGTCGACTCAAGAGGGCGGACCAGATCAAAGATGGTGTCTCAGTCACAACGTAAGTACCTACACACACTGTATGTTCACACATTCTACATCTACAGTGGAGTAGCACAAATATACTAGATAAATATTATATACTATTACTTACACACATCTTAAGTTATCGTTTTGCTCACGTATCACACCATAAACACACTGTATTAACATAACACTGCTCTCATGTTAATTGAATAGTCTGTAAATGTCTGTAAGTACCAAATACTGTATTGACTGCAAACTTCCCAAAAAAAACGCATTTAATTGAAATAGAAATCTTTTGTAACATTATAAATATTTTTACTGTCACTTTTGATCAATTTAATGCATCCCTGCTGAATAAAAGTATTAGTTTATTTTTAAAAAGACTCATTACTATTTTACTAATTTTATACACACATGGTAAGCATACCGTGAAACATGACTGGAAACAGTCTTCACACCACATGCTGTAACACACATTGTCAACTGCATGTGTGAGTGTGTACGTAAAAGATTATCAGGAGTCATCCTGCTCTAAGGATGTAACCCACAGCTCCTCCAACTGTTTCTGTGCCTCTAGGTTCCGACGATTCTGATTGCACGCCAGGTACCCTCGTCTGACATGTGGGCGAGTGTGTTTAGTTCATGCAAACGTGTGTGAGCGTTTGTGAGCGAGCAAGCGTTTATATGTCTTGAGTGGCCTGCATGCTGTGTGGTCTTCACTTGGGTATGATGGTATCAGTCCATTTCTGCCTGCAGGCGTGTAGAAACACAAACTCTCAGACACATCAGTTTAGTGGTGAATGTTGGGCAGCCTGGGCTGCTTAAACATATTGAGAGTATTGATGGAACTAAAGCAGTGGTAAACACAACCATGACGTTTTTTCATATTTTGTGTGCCTTCATGGTGATGTTGTGGAGTCTCATCAGTTCCAATGGTGTTGCAGGGCTTTTTGAATCTATGTGCTTATACTGATGTTTTCATTTGCAGGCTGATGGTTTTATTAATTTGTGCGGTGTGTGCATCAAAACAACACATTGACTGCATGTTTTACCCCATAATGCATTTGTATTTGTTTAATATGCTGTTCCTCCTCCCACCCAATGGGTCTTTTGGACCCGCCCCGCTTCCTAATCCTTCCCCCTCATTGGCTCAGGATCACAGTCTGCTACCCCTGTTGGTGGTAAGATTTTCAGCATATTTCCCCTGTCACTCATTCACTTAGTTCAGTCAATCCCATCCTGTGGACCTCCAACCTCATCTTCCCTTGTCCTGGTTCACGGGAAAAAAACATGGGTTTTCCCATCAGTCCCCACTCTCTTCACTGCATGGAGGGTGTGTCGCTTGGATTATTTTGTTTGGTGTTTTTTCTCTCTCTCTTTCTTCAAACCTGTGAATAATTTGTTAAACCTCACATTAAGGCTGGGCGGTATGGCGGTGTATATCGATCGTTTGGTACAGATTCTGCTTCTTCTATGAATCTGCTACACAGATCCCTGTAATCCTCCTTTAAATAAAAAACTTTGGTATTATGTAATGTGAAGCTGTTTTGGTACTGATTCATTTGTGTGGCATGAATTCTCTTAGCTTTTTGTTTTGTGTCCATCAAGGTAAATAAAATAAAATGTTCCTTTCCTTTCTTTTTGAAAGCATTTAAGCCACTAAATTATCGAAAAATAGACTTGGTACATAGTTATGTTACAATTGAAATATATTTACTTGAATTTTCAGCAAATATAATTATTGTGAGATGTGTATGGACACAAGATTTTAGTCATATCGCCCACCCCTACTTCACGTCACTGAGTAGGAAAATTTAAAGATTCTGTCACTGGTGTGTCAAAGTGCAGTGTGAGCATGTTCAGTTGTGTTTGTGTAGAGTTTGTAGTCATAGAAACATTTTCACTTGTTCACTAGGGAAACCTCATTTTTCCCTTTTTGTCTCGAACACATCAGAATCACAGCACTAGCACTTTTATGTCAAACTGTCATCTGTATCTGTGATTATTGTAATGTAAATTATTGTTGTCTGGATAAACAACAAAAATGTCAGCATAGCTATGAGGATTAGTTTGTTGGTGACGTATGCATCCCTGCTGAATAAAAGTATTAGTTTATTTTTAAAAAGACTCCATGCTAATTTTATACACACATGGTAAGCATACCGTGAAACATGACTGGAAACAGTCTTCACACCACATGCTGTAACACACATTGTCAACTGCATGTGTGAGTGTGTACGTAAAAGATTATCAGGAGTCATCCTGCTCTAAGGATGTAACCCACAGCTCCTCCAACTGTTTCTGTGCCTCTAGGTTCCGACGATTCTGATTGCACGCCAGGTACCCTCGTCTGACATGTGGGCGAGTGTGTTTAGTTCATGCAAACGTGTGTGAGCGTTTGTGAGCGAGCAAGCGTTTATATGTCTTGAGTGGCCTGCATGCTGTGTGGTCTTCACTTGGGTATGATGGTATCAGTCCATTTCTGCCTGCAGGCGTGTAGAAACACAAACTCTCAGACACATCAGTTTAGTGGTGAATGTTGGGCAGCCTGGGCTGCTTAAACATATTGAGAGTATTGATGGAACTAAAGCAGTGGTAAACACAACCATGACGTTTTTTCATATTTTGTGTGCCTTCATGGTGATGTTGTGGAGTCTCATCAGTTCCAATGGTGTTGCAGGGCTTTTTGAATCTATGTGCTTATACTGATGTTTTCATTTGCAGGCTGATGGTTTTATTAATTTGTGCGGTGTGTGCATCAAAACAACACATTGACTGCATGTTTTACCCCATAATGCATTTGTATTTGTTTAATATGCTGTTCCTCCTCCCACCCAATGGGTCTTTTGGACCCGCCCCGCTTCCTAATCCTTCCCCCTCATTGGCTCAGGATCACAGTCTGCTACCCCTGTTGGTGGTAAGATTTTCAGCATATTTCCCCTGTCACTCATTCACTTAGTTCAGTCAATCCCATCCTGTGGACCTCCAACCTCATCTTCCCTTGTCCTGGTTCACGGGAAAAAAACATGGGTTTTCCCATCAGTCCCCACTCTCTTCACTGCATGGAGGGTGTGTCGCTTGGATTATTTTGTTTGGTGTTTTTTCTCTCTCTCTTTCTTCAAACCTGTGAATAATTTGTTAAACCTCACATTAAGGCTGGGCGGTATGGCGGTGTATATCGATCGTTTGGTACAGATTCTGCTTCTTCTATGAATCTGCTACACAGATCCCTGTAATCCTCCTTTAAATAAAAAACTTTGGTATTATGTAATGTGAAGCTGTTTTGGTACTGATTCATTTGTGTGGCATGAATTCTCTTAGCTTTTTGTTTTGTGTCCATCAAGGTAAATAAAATAAAATGTTCCTTTCCTTTCTTTTTGAAAGCATTTAAGCCACTAAATTATCGAAAAATAGACTTGGTACATAGTTATGTTACAATTGAAATATATTTACTTGAATTTTCAGCAAATATAATTATTGTGAGATGTGTATGGACACAAGATTTTAGTCATATCGCCCACCCCTACTTCACGTCACTGAGTAGGAAAATTTAAAGATTCTGTCACTGGTGTGTCAAAGTGCAGTGTGAGCATGTTCAGTTGTGTTTGTGTAGAGTTTGTAGTCATAGAAACATTTTCACTTGTTCACTAGGGAAACCTCATTTTTCCCTTTTTGTCTCGAACACATCAGAATCACAGCACTAGCACTTTTATGTCAAACTGTCATCTGTATCTGTGATTATTGTAATGTAAATTATTGTTGTCTGGATAAACAACAAAAATGTCAGCATAGCTATGAGGATTAGTTTGTTGGTGACGTTTGAGTTTGGCTGACAGTCTGTATTTTGTGTTATTTAATATATATAATTCTGTTTGTGTGTGCATATAAAGGCATTTATCGGTAGGATGATGTGCATTTTCAGAGGTCTGTCAGGCTCACAAAATGTCTGTCTTTTTGTTTTCTATGTTTACAGCGGGTTCTCGCTCGGGTTCCCCAGGCCGGGTTTTGACCAGCACAGCTCTGAGCACACTCAGTACAGGAGCTCAGCGTGTGAGTGCAGCACCAGGCTCCCACCGTCGCAGCCGGATCCCACGCAGTCAAGGCTGCAGTCGAGACTCCAGCCCCACGCGCCTGTCTGTTGGTAAGCATTGACTTCTATCAGTGGTTTTCTATTGTGATGATCTACTCAGTTGTTTTCTTTCTGATGAATAAAAGATCTTCTTCATCAATGAGTGTCCATTGAATCTGTTGTGGCATAATATGCAAAAGTGTTGCAAGTGTACGTTGGCTGTGAGACTGTGACTATAGGCCTTCACATAAACGGGTGATAATGTTCTTACCAAAACTGAATGTTTTTTCTTTCAATCAAAGCTCCTTCAAACATCAGCCACATCTACAATGGATCAAAAGGAGGTATGTTTTGTTTAGTTTTAGTTTTTTTTTTTGCCTTGGTCTCCGCCAGCAATCCCATAATGATAATCCATCTGCCTGTCTGAGCTGGTGCTGTCATCCTAATGGTGTTTCATGCTGGAAGTTGTGCTTTGTTGCGTGTAACACGCTGCTTTGGGAAAGCAGAACATGCCGTCACATTAACCTACTGGGTCTTCCCTTGTCTGCTGTGATGTTAAACCCCACAGCTTGGTGCTGCTCTTTGCAAAGTGGATGAATGAATGAATGAAGTCCATCTCATGAATGCAGATGAACATTGAACATTGGTTGAGAGACCGGATACAAAAGGAAAGATCTAGACCTGCCACCTCCCATTTATTAAGGGTGTATTCACACCAGGAAAGTCCGCTAGTTCACTTGCTTTGGTCCGGACCAAATACAATGTTGATTTTTTTTTTGTTAGGTGCAGTTCGTTTTCACACTGCCCTTTTTTGCAAGTGAACCAGAAATTGTAAACAAAACCACACGTGTGCTAAGGTCATCCATTCATTGGACAGAAATTCTCAAGCAGAGAAAAACAGGAAGTGCAAAAAAAAGCTAATCATGGAGATCTTTCGTAGTGCAATTTTTATTCTTTTAATGATTTGGTGTTATCAGATACTAACGCAATATGAAGAAACTTATGAGCATCATATGAGACAATGTCATACGATGTTGTAATTACGACTTGCCGAAAATAAAATCTACAGATATAAAATACTTAAAGCATATCACAATGTTAGTTTAAACATTTAACCTATATAACTGTGCACTATTAGGTGCATATCCAATCGTTTGTGCGGAGAGTGGAAGCTGAAACGCGCTTCAGGACATCAGTGGAAACAAATTAAATACACTGTCATTTTTGCTCATAAAGGTAAGAATAATACATCGTTTGGAACTGTAAAGGGTCTATTTTTATTTGTGTGCGCTCACAATATCGAGAAAACATTGTGCTTTTGTAAAATAAAGAAAACAAATAGGATGCGCTTTCCGTCTCGGGTATTGAACAGGAGCACTTCACAAAAATGCACCGAAACTCCGCGAATATTTTCTTTACAGACTTGATGAATATATCTATAGAAAGCTTTAAATGACTATAAAACTAAATAATTCAAATCCAAAACAAAAACTCTTAGGTAATCCGTAAAGATGCATTTCTTTCTAAAGGCGTGTCCAATGATGAGATGGCGAGTCGGGATCATCAACTTCATAGCGACACTGACTCATAAAACACTACTTTATTAATAAATAATTCAAATATCTCCTTACTATTTTCCCCCAACATAGTCATGGTAATTTTTGTGGCAAGCTTTAGCCTATTTAGCGCGCTCACATCACGTTGTTGTGTGCCATGGTCACGAAAACTAATCATTTGCATGTGTTTTTAAGCGTTGTGGTTTAAAAAAGTTATTTAAGCCATTGAAAAACAACAGCACTATATGCACGAGCTGTCTGTTTCTGAGCGTGATTTCTGCAATTGAGTCGGATCGAGGTCGGGTCATATTCACACCTTAAACGTAACGTACCAGAGTTTGTTTGGAAGTGGACCGAGACCACCTCTTCAGCTGGGTCTCTGTACGGTTGTTTGGTCTGCACCAGAGTGTGATTGCTGTATTCACACCTGCCAAAAAGGTCCGCACCAAGAGGGGAAACGAACTTGAGTTTGATTCAATCGAACCAAACAAGACAGGTGTGAATACACCCTAACATTCACCCTTTAATTCTTAACCTTTTAATTGTTCTTCCCTTGTCAGTGAATGTTTGTTCTTTTCTAATCAATTCCTTTAATATGGAATTTGTGCATGGACTCTAGAAATTAGTTCAAATATTGTTGTTTTTTTATGTTGTCTTTTTCTGTGAGGTTCCTCAGGGCTTTGTATTGGGCCCTTTTTTTCCCCTCCTCAAAAAGTTAACAAATTTATTGTTATGTTGGTGCTTAGAAAAACTTTATGTAATTGTTATAGCTTTTCCTTCTAAATTTCTCCTACTTTGCTAGTTATACTGTTATAACTTTCAACGTCTCTGTTCTTCTTTATCTGTTTTTTTCTCTCTCTTCTTGTCGTGGTATGTTTTCTTGGGGGTGGGTTAGCAAGGGGTAGTCGTATACCACGGCCTAGTGTGAGTCAGGGCTGCAGTCGTGAGGCCAGCCGAGAGAGCAGCAGAGACACCAGCCCTGTGCGCTCCTTCACGCCGCTCGGTGAGTAACCACGGCAACCATTTCATCTACCAGGACCAATCAGCTTCAACTCAGCAGGGGCCTAAAATTATTAGACAAAATGTTGAACAGTGATACTTGTCCTCCTTCACTTCATTTGAACCTGGAATTCGAGCTTTTGCACATTATGCTCTTTGCTGGACTCAGTTTGAGTCAACAGTTTTTACCAAACAGGAATGTTTGTACAGTGAAACAGCAATGCAAGCACGCTTTAACATTGTATTACAAATATTTTTGAGTTTGAAAATCCCACACATGGTTCAGCTTGGTCAGGAAGCAATTTTCTCCTGGCCTTGTTTTTATTTATTTATTTATTTTATTTTTTTGGATTCATCTTACATGGTGAACATTGCTGATGGATGCTGGCACAGGTTTCATCTGAGGTCTTTAAATACAGCACACCAGAGAAAAATGATATTAAAGGAAAAATTTCAGACAGGAAATATTGGGAAATAACAAATTTCCTAATATTTCAAACAATGACTAATTAAATCAAAATTCAAATTTAATTTCATTTGTTGAATATCCTGTTTTGCACAGAAATGTCATATTGAGGAAGACAATTGTTGACTTTACATAGGTACATAAGTATAAAGCAGTTTGACAGTTACATAAACATGTGCAAAAGCTTTTCCAAAAATATTAAATTAAATTAAACATGGAGTCTGTCATTAATGGGGAAAAAAGAGTCAAAGCTGAAGCCCTCAGTGTGCCAAAAAAAAAAGTTTAATTTTTCACATTTATTTTGAGATAAGAACATTTAAGATAGAGATTCGCTGACAGTGATATTTTTGAGGTTAGGTATGACACATTTAAGTCACTTTCAGAAGAAACTTTTTTTTGAGGGGTGCCCAGGTGAAAATATTCCTGCTGTTACGCAGGACACAAGCAGAACTGGACTAATACCCTTGAGCATTGACACTTGAAGAGTGTGAAATGTGTGTGACACAATGGGGCGTGTGTGGTTGGTGATGGCACATTCTCACATTACTGCTAATTGGGAGTTTCTCTGGTGAGCTCTAACACTGGCCTGGGTATTTACGCGTGTGTGTGCTTGTTTGCATTCTTGTGTGTGTGTTGCAGCATCCCGGCATTATTCGCGCTCAACTGGTGCTCTTCATGCCCCAGACGCCTTCGGGGCAGCAGGTGAACTGTCACCACAGCTGGCACAGGACTCATAAATTTTTTATTTTTTTTTTACTGTCACTTTTTTTATTCTCATTGTCACTTTTTGAATTTTCATCTCATCCTTCTGCTTGTTTCAGTTTAGCCTCCACCAGACCTGCGTGCTTTTAAGTTTAGTCTTCATAATCGTTCCTCCCATTGCCTTGATAACAACCGTATTCAAGTAGATTCATGTGGAACATCTTTCACAGTCACCTATTATTTTCTCTGAGTTAACCCAAGTTTTTTTGTGTGTGTACTTGTTTTTGGATATGTTTTTTATTATTATTTATTGATCGTATGGGCATTTGTGGTTAATTTTCATTAATGTTTTCAATGGTAATAATCATTTGTTTTTTGGTTTTCTAGTGTCAGTATCCTTATTATTGGTGAATTGTGATTTCTCATTATTGATAAGATCACTGCATGCAGTTTTTTGTTTTTGGAAATGTTGTTTTATTCGTATTTGTGCATGTGTGTGTAAAATATGTGATGTGTGTTGTAGGTTCTGGCTTGGGTATATCTCAGTCCAGTCATCTCTCATCCTCAGTTAGTGCAATGAGAGTGCTGAACACAGGATCAGACGTGGAGGAAGCCCTGGCAGATGCTCTGGTAAATATGCATATAGTCACATATGGAAACTCTCTTTACACCCCACTTACACACAAGTTTACATACCCTCTTTTATCAGACAATTACATACCCAGAATCTGATGTTTAGCCATTTTTAAAAGTGGAATATTTTTGTTTATATATATGTGTGTATATATATATATATATATATATATATACATATACACGTTATATACAGCGAGGGAAATATTTATTTGATCCCCTGCTGATTTTGTAAGTTTGCCCACTTACAAAGAAATGAAGGGTCTGTAATTTTTATGGTAGGTTTATTTTAACTGATAGAGAAAGAATAGCAACCAAGAAATCCAGAAAAAACACATTATATAAAGGTTAGAAATTGATTTGCATTTCAGTGAGTGAAATAAGTATTTGATCCCCTACCAACCAGCAAGAATTCTGGCTCCCACAGATTGGTTATGTGCCCATGTGGAACACAGATTAGTTCTGTCACTTTAAGAAGTTACTCCTAATGTCAGCTCATTGGGTGTATAAGACACCTGTCCACACAATCTGTATCTTCCATTCCAACCTCTCCCACCACCATTGGCAAGACCAAAGAGCTGTCAAAGGATGTCAGAAACAAGATTGTAGATCTGCACAAGGCTGGAATGGGCTACAAGACCATCAGCAAGAAGCTTGCTGAGAAGGACAGAAGTGTTGGTGCGATTATTTGGAAATGAAAGAAATACAAAACAACCATCAATTGGCCTTGGTCTGGAGCTCCGTGCAAGATCTTGCCTCGTGGGGTAAGGATGATCATGAGAAAGGTGAGGGATCAGCCCCGAACTACACGGGAGGAGCTTGTTAATGATCTTAAGGCAGTTGGGACCACAGCCACCAAGCAAAACATTGGTAACACACTACACTGCAATGGACTGAAATCCCGCAGCACCCGCAAGGTCCCCCTGCTCAAGAAGGCACATGTACGGGCCCGTTTAAAGTTTGCCAAAGAACATCTAAATGATTCAGAGAAGGCTTGGGAGAAAGTGCTGTGGTCAGATGAGACCAAAATTGAGCTCTTTGGCATTAACTCGACTCGCCGTGTTTTGGAGGGAGAGAAATGCTGACTATGACCCCAAGAACACCATCCCTGCAGTCAAGCACAGAGGTGGAAACATTATGCTTCAGGGCTGTTTTTCTGCTAAGGGTACAGGACGACTTCACCACATTGAGGGGCAAATGGATGGGGCCATGTACTGTAAAATCTTGGATGAGAACCTCCTTCCCTCAGCCAGAACACTGAAGATGGGTCATGGATGAGTCTTCCAGCATAACAATGACCCGAAACATACCGCCAAGGCAACAAAGGAGTGGCTCAAGAAGAAGCACATTAAGGTCATGGAGTTGCCTAGCCAGTCTCCAGACCTCAATCCTATAGAAAATCTGTAGAGGGAGCTGAAACTTCGAGTTGCCAAACGACAGCCAATAAACCTTAAGGATTTAGAGAGGATATGTAAAGAGGAATGGACCAAAATCCCTCCTGAGATGTGTGCAAACCTGGTGACCAACTACAAAAAGCGTCTTACCTCTGTGCTTGCCAACAAGGGTTTCTGTACCAAGTACTAAGTCATGTTTTGCTTGGGGATCAAATACTTATTTCACTCACTGAAATGCAAATCAATTTCTAACCTTTATATAATGTTTTTTTCTGGATTTTTGGTTTGTATTCTGTCTCTATCAGTTAAAATAAACCAACCATAAAAATTACAGACCCTTGATGTCTTTGTAAGTGGGCAAACTTACAAAATCAGCAGGGGATCAAATAAATATTTCCCCCACTGTATATATATAATAATTTTTCACTTGATTAACTTAATAAAAGAAATCATAATATAAAAACTGCATTTTGTATTTACTTGCATTATCTTTGTGTAATATTAAAATTAGTTTGATGATCTGAATATTTTAAGTGTGACAAATATGCAAAAAATTTTAAAACAAACAGTAAGGGGGCCAACACTTTTTCACACCTATGTGTATATATATATATACACACACACACACATATACACACACACACCATTTAGAAGTTTAAGGTCAGTAAGTTTTTTATGAAAAACCATTATTAATTTTATTCAGCAAGAATTAACTAAATTGATCATATTTTAAATTGTAATAGTATTTCACTATAGTGCTGTTTTACTTTTGATCAGATAAATTCAGCCTTGTTGAGAATAAGAATACTTCTTTCAAAAATATATATATTTTTTAAATCCTACCAATCCTAACATTTTGTGTAAATATATGGGATTTAATATGGTGTAGGGATGTCAAAAGTGGAATATCCATGCCATTTTTTTAATCCAAAAACATTTTGCAAAGGGTATGCAAACTTTTGGATAAAACTGTACTCCCAAAATTAACATAACCATTGTATTGTGTGCTAAATGTCCTAGATGTCTGTCTTTAACTCATGCTTTAACCTTTGGCTTTATTAATGCTGCCAGCTATTAGGAGATATGCGGGGCAAGGTTAGTCTGTCTGGCTTTCTGCATTAAGCTGACGTTAAACTTAAACAATCTTTCTTTCTTCAAGTTGTCTTAGTGTTTACTTTATACCTAAAATACTAATTTGAATCTCATTTGATGTTTTTCTAAGCAGAAGAAACCAGCTAGGCGGCGGTATGACACCTGTGGGATGTACTCAGATGATGATGCAAATAGCGATGCCTCCAGTGCGTGTTCAGAGCGTTCGTACAGCTCCCGGAATGGCAGTATTCCAACATATATGCGGCAGACTGAAGATGTGGCTGAAGTGCTCAATCGCTGTGCCTCTGCCAACTGGTCTGAGAGAAAAGAGGGGCTGATGGGATTGCAGGCATTGCTGAAAAACCAACGAACTCTCAGGTAACCCATTAAGGCACACAATAAAGTGTAATTATAGTTTTTCACATTCCAGCTTTACTAAATTGGTAGATTCATGTTCAATGCAAGTGTTTAGTTTATTCTTTCTATCTGTTTCAGCCGTGTTGAGCTGAAGAGGTTGTGCGAAATTTTTACCAGGATGTTTGCAGACCCACACAGCAAGGTACCCTCGCATGTCGCTTTCAAACACGCTCCAGAACACACTTACACCACACACACACTTCTGCAGTCATAAACCAGCATGAACTCTTGCATCACACAGCACCACTTGACTGTATCGGATTCTGCCTCACCCACAGCCCGTATTCTTGCCACAAACACACAGATCCACACTCTCAGGCATGTGCAGTGCACACTAACTCTGGGGATGAGGACCGTGGCTAATCGCATGGTTTGGTCTGACTGGATTTCTGATTTCAGACAGTTCGCTCATCTTTTTTCAACCGCTGCAACGCCCACCCAAACTTCCTCCGTAGCTTTCCTCCCTTTCTTGCTTGCACTCACGCATTCACATACTGGGACTGTCACAATTCCCAAAAAATTGAAGAACATCTTAAAATCTAAATTTCATGCCAATCTTTGGCCATTAGGAAGAACATGATAAAATGAGAATGCTCAAATTTCAATATAGCCATGTAAGATTTCAGTATAAGCGTTGATGTTTTAGGTATATTTTCTATATAAATTTAAATACTTCTTAAAATTAAAATTAATATAATAAAAAAATTTGTGGAACATCACGTTAAACTATTGTGAGCCCAGTCCTACACGCACACAGACTAACCCGTGTTTGAGGTGTGTCTCTTTCTCCACTCATAACGTTTTCCTGGAACCTCCTCCTGCCATTCTCTATCTTGTCGGGTAGGCTGTAGCTCCGCCCCATTTATCTGATTGCTGGGCTCATGGCCCGCCCCTCTTTCTGATTTCCAGCGTGATTCCAGAGGCTTCGGCACGGCAGAATCCGGTATCAGTTCTGCCTCTTTTAAGGTACAGAAGTCATTCTCACACTCCTGTCCTCCAGCACAATCACATTCAACAGCCACTCGAGCTGTTCTTCAGGGGTCTGGAAAAACCTGGATCCTTTTATGTGGATATTTAAAAGGGTGGATATATAATTGACAAAATTCATACAATTTTTTCCCCTTTTTTATATTGGTCTATAATGGTCTTGTTTTAATGGTGTGCTTTATTTCTCATTTCTACTGTTTGAACTATTTCACAGAATAATTTCCATAAAGGGTTAGTTCATCATAAAATGAAAATTGTGTCCCCATTTGCTCACCCTCATGTTGTTCCAAACCCATTGGAAAGCTGTTCATCTTTGGAACACAAATGAAGATATTTTTTTGAAATCTGAGAGATTTCTGTCCCTCCATTGAAAGTCCGTTCACCCAAAACTCTGATGCTTCAAAACGTTCGTAAAGAGATCAAAAAAGTAAGAGAGCAATTTAATCCAAGTCTTCTGAAGAGACATGATCACTTTATATTTATATATAAAACTATCGTAACTATTGATAACAATATAATTTTTAAGGGTTCGGAATGATGTGAGGGTGAGTAAATATTGACAGAATTTTCATTGTGAACTTAAATTTAAATTTAATGTATTTATTCATTTTCGTATCGTTTCAAAAATGGTCCTGCAAATGGTCAGTTTTCATGTGTTTTTACGGACATTCACCAGTGTGTTTGTTTCTTTTCATGCCTTACCATGTGGTGGAACTGTAGAGAGTAAGTTTGGTTGACTTGTGCAAATGTTTTTTTTTTGTTGTTGTTGTTTTTTTTTTTTTACTGCTTTTTTGTGTTTGTGCAATGCCTATATCCAGAAACTGTGAGATGCTGCTCTAATAAATAGCTGGAAAGCATTTATTCAGTTTTTGGCTGTTTGGGACTGAGCACTAACAGGGCGCTATCTACTTTATTAATGTACTAATCCATAACAAAATAGGATGTTGAAAATGTGACATCTAACAAATAAGAAATATGTTTTTGATCCTGCCATTAATCTGTGGCTTTGCTGTTAACTAATCAAGAATATTTAAAAAGTGTCTATATTGTAAACATTATCAGTAATTAGGTTGTTTGATCTTTCACAATATTAGTTGTAAAGTAACAATTAGCATGCCGTTTTAATTCTACGTGGTATTTGTTTTTAAATCATCTGAAATTCCCAAGTAGGTAAATAACCAAGTAGTGCCGTTATCACCAAAATAAACTGCAGACTGAATCATAGTGTGCCATTTGAAAAACTTTGATTCTCTTTCATTCAGACTAAAACAAAAGTTTGAAAATCAGATCACGTAGAGAATTCTCAAATATTGTGTAACAATTGATTTCTGCTTCCTTTCGATTTCCCCATATTTCTGTATTTTATATTACTTCCCTACATCGCTATTAATTATATAGAGACAATCATGATGACCATGTATCATTTGTGCTGTTTCGATTGACTTTATATGAAAAGTGTGGTATCTTTACAAACTGATGCTATTCATTTGGACTTTAATTAGTATTAAAGGGGTCATATGATGCGATTTCAAGTTTTCCTTTCTCTTTGGAGTGTTACAAGCTCTTGGTGAATAAAGAAGATCTGTAAAGTTGCAAAAACTAAAGTCTCAAATCCAAAAAGATATTCTTTATAAAAGTTAAAAGTCAGCCACGCCTACCTAAAACGGCTCGTTCTAACACGCCCCCACATATCTATGTCACTATGTGGAAATATTAGCATAATGCCGCACAAATGTGCACGCAAAGAAAGAAAGCGTTGTTTCAGGAACAGCAGTAGTGTTGATGCAGCATGTCAGGGAGAGCTGTGTGTTTCAGTGCGAAAGCAAAAGCACTTTATTTGGCCTTCCGGAAGTAGATGCAATTAGGAATCATTGGTTAAGATTTATTTACAACAGAACAGCACAACCCAGATGTTCGAATTTGTGCAACGCATTTTATGGACGACAGTTTTTTGAACCTAGAAGAGTACAAGGCTGGCTGTGCACAAAGGCTATTTAAAAAACAAGCCAAAGTACAGAAAGCCCTAGACGTCACAAGGTATGTTATATGAAAAGCCATTATTTCTGCCGTGCTCTGATATCAAGTGTCCACAGATTTTGGTGCTCAAGAATAATTTGTTAATTTCTTGTGTCTTTCCCCAGAGAATCTTTTCCGAATGATCTGCAGTTCACTATCCTAATGAGATTCACAGTTGACCAAACACAGACTCCCAACTTAAAGGTAAGTGCTTTTTTAATGACTCTTTATCTTCTCACACTGTGTGGATGAGCGACTAAGATTGATAGTGTCGTGCAACATGCTGGTATCAGAGAATGTAAGATTGTGGCTGCCAGGTCTTGCTTAAGTGCTTATTTAGGAGTTTCTACAGGATGTCATGCGCTGGGTCAGTGTACTCAGGTTGTTGTTATCCCTCCATAAAATCTCATGCAAGCCACAAGGACTTTGCCTTACATAAGAATCTCCAACCTCTACCTCACAGTGTTTCCTGAATCTGAAGAGCCACCCTTTTAGATGTTGTTGCATTGTTAATTCATTGTCAAATTTGTGAACAAATTGCTTAACTGGTACCATTTTACAATACAAAAAAAGCACATTTGTGTTTTATTTATAGGGTGCCAATGTATTTTTTGTATTATTTATATAGTAGTATAGTATTTCTTAATATTTCGAATTAGCATTTATTTTTATATTTTCAGCTTTCAATTATTTATTCAGTTATTTCAGTTTTCGTTTTAATGCTTTACCTTATTTAATGCTTAAACTAACTTAGTTTCAAGTTAGCTGGAAAGGGAAAAATGTTTTTTTTACTATTTTTGTATTTATTAATATTTAGTTTTTTTTATCTTCAGTTTGTCATTTTCATGTATTTTTTTCATTAGTTTTTATTGTTTTTTTTAGTTTGAGTAATTTCCGTGCTTCAACGATTCTAAGGCATCTTTTTACAATTTCCTTTAGGTTTTTAAGTTTGTTTTTCATCTATTTTATTTTATTTCCGCTTTATTTTAATTCCCTAAAAAAGATTTTTAATAGTTTTAGTTCAAAATTACAACACTGTAGGTTGCTGACTTTACGGTGTTAGATGACGGCAAAGGTAGTCTAAATGTAAAATTAAAGGTAACATGAACAATTAAATTTACAGTGTTGGCCAATATTGTAAAAAAAAAAATTTAAAATGCATATCTGAGATTTAGAATTTAACTGCATTTTAATATAAAAAAAAACATGTTGAAAAATATTATTTATTTGTGTTGTTGTCTTTGGCTGCAGTTATAAAATCCTGTAGAAAAAACTTTCCTACACCAATCTCATAACCACATTTGCCATGTCCACACATGCAACGACCCACCTTCCCTCTAACCAAACCATCACCCCTTCATCTGCCTCTCATTCAGCATCTTTTTTCAGCATTATTACTTAATACCACATCCTGTCCAGTTTTCCCTCCTATCCCTCTGCCCCCCCACCCCACCCCATCTGCATGACTGTCTGGGGCTCCCTTTCATTGATGTGCTCTCCCTCTCTCTCTCTGAAGCCGGGGAAAAGGCGCTGTTGCTGGTACGGGGGCGGGGCTATAGAATTGCTTCCCCTCAGAAAGCGACGGCATGCTTGCACACTGCAGGAAAATATCCAAGTGTGGAACCAAGCAGTACAGGTCAGTGAGAGACAGGGGAAGCAATTCTATAAATCCCAGCTCCCACAACTAAAATCCCTCAGCTGAGCTAGCTCAACTTAAATCCCACCAAATCCATTTTCAGATGTAACAGACAGTAAGAGAAGTTACTCACTGAATCCTCTTCCGCAGAAATTCACAGATAGATCCACAGATTTCCACCCATAATTTACAACTTGTGAAGCCTGCCCACTGCATGTATATTTATTTTGAAAATGCTTTAGTGGCAAATTAGTGTGTGGTATTCGAAATAACGTTTTCCCCTCTAGTCAACCTACTCTACTGTTTAAAAGACTGGGGTCAGTAAGATTTTATTTAAGGACACATTAAATTGATCAAAAGTGACAGTAAAGACACAACAAATATTTTTATTTAAAATAAATGCTGTTTTTTTAACTTTGTATTTATCAAAGAACCTTAATATCACCGTGTCCACAAAAATGTTAAGCACCATAACTGTTTTCAACATTGATAGTAATAAGAAATGTATTTATATAGTAGTATAGTATTTCTTAATATTTCGAATTAGCATTTATTTGTATATTTTCAGCTTTCAATTATTTATTCAGTTATTTCAGTTTTCGTTTTAATGCTTTACCTTATTTAATGCTTAAACTAACTTAGTTTCAAGTTAGCTGGAAAGGGAAAAATGTTTTTTTACTATTTTTGTATTTATTAATATTTAGTTTTTTTTATCTTCAGTTTGTCATTTTCATGTATTTTTTTCATTAGTTTTTATTGTTTTTTTTAGTTTGAGTAATTTCCGTGCTTCAACGATTCTAAGGCATCTTTTTACATTTTCCTTTAGGTTTTTAAGTTTGTTTTTCATCTATTTTATTTTATTTCCGCTTTATTTTAATTCCCTTAAAAAAATTTTTAATAGTTTTAGTTCAAAATTACTACACTGTAGGTTGCTGACTTTACGGTGTTAGATGACGGCAAAGGTAGTCTAAATGTAAAATTAAAGGTAACATGAACAATTAAATTTACAGTGTTGGCCAATATTGTAAAAAAAAAAAATTTAAAATGCATATCTGAGATTTAGAGTTTAACTGCATTTTAATATAAAAAAAAACATGTTGAAAAATATTATTTATTTGTGTTGTTGTCTTTGGCTGCAGTTATAAAATCCTGTAGAAAAAACTTTCCTACACCAATCTCATAACCACATTTGCCATGTCCACACATGCAACGACCCACCTTCCCTCTAACCAAACCATCACCCCTTCATCTGCCTCTCATTCAGCATCTTTTTTCAGCATTATTACTTAATACCACATCCTGTCCAGTTTTCCCTCCTATCCCTCTGCCCCCCCACCCCACCCCATCTGCATGACTGTCTGGGGCTCCCTTTCATTGATGTGCTCTCCCTCTCTCTCTCTGAAGCCGGGGAAAAGGCGCTGTTGCTGGTACGGGGGCGGGGCTATAGAATTGCTTCCCCTCAGAAAGCGACGGCATGCTTGCACACTGCAGGAAAATATCCAAGTGTGGAACCAAGCAGTACAGGTCAGTGAGAGACAGGGGAAGCAATTCTATAAATCCCAGCTCCCACAACTAAAATCCCTCAGCTGAGCTAGCTCAACTTAAATCCCACCAAATCCATTTTCAGATGTAACAGACAGTAAGAGAAGTTACTCACTGAATCCTCTTCCGCAGAAATTCACAGATAGATCCACAGATTTCCACCCATAATTTACAACTTGTGAAGCCTGCCCACTGCATGTATATTTATTTTGAAAATGCTTTAGTGGCAAATTAGTGTGTGGTATTCAAAATAACGTTTTCCCCTCTAGTCAACCTACTCTACTGTTTAAAAGTCTGGGGTCAGTAAGATTTTATTTAAGGACACATTAAATTGATCAAAAGTGACCGTAAAGACACAACAAATATTTTTATTTAAAATAAATGCTGTTTTTTTAACTTTGTATTTATCAAAGAACCTTAATATCACCGTGTCCACAAAAATGTTAAGCACCATAACTGTTTTCAACATTGATAGTAATAAGAAATGTTTCTTAATCACCAAATCAGCATATTAGAATAATTTCTGAAGGATCATGTGACACTGAAGACTGGAGTAATGGCTACTGAAAATTCAGCTTGACCATCACAGGAATAATTAACTTTTAAAATATATTCAAATAGAAAACAGCTATTTTAAATTGTAATAATATTTTACTGTTTTTACTGTATTTTTGATCAATTAAATTCAGCCTATGTGAGTATAAGAGACTTAACAAATTACAGAATGGGGGGAGGGGGGCTTTTTTGGGGCTAGTTATTACCTTAATTAGTCAGTCTTGACAGAAGCAGGTTGTTTTATTAAAGGCATGATGTTCAAGAGAGTGGGACATCAGTGAAAGAGAGCAGGACACAACCCGCTGGCAACACTAATACACTTGAGACACAAGCTTTTTGTTTTTGAAATGCTGTGCTGAGCCCAATCACACCCACCATGCTCACTCCAACTCCCCCTGCTGTCTTGCTTCATTTCATGGATTTAAGAATAGCTGTGAATGTGTGACTTGGTGTGCTTGTCTGTAACTGATGGACTGCAGAGTTGATGGTGCTTTGATTCTGACTGTGGCGAAGTTTGATTGAAGGAGGGTTTGTGATTGAGGAAAAATGTTTGAAGTAAAACTTTTGGAGTGAATGTTACTGTTGTCTTGAATGACATAATATGCCTAGGTTTAGTTTATTGCACAGTTGTAACACAAGGATAATGTTTCAGGTGAAGGTGGCCATTTTGAAGTACATAGAAACACTGACCCTACAAATGGAGCCACAGGATTTTGTCAACTCAAGCGAAACCAGACTGGCAGTGTCGCGTATCATTACGTGGACCTCCGAACCCAAGAGCTCTGACGTCAGAAAGGTACAAGACATTTGTGCTTATTACATGAATGATATTTCAAATGTTTCTGCTTTTTCAGCTTGACAATGTGAGCTCTGTTTATTTGTAGTTTGTTTTTAAATCCTTTGGTGGTGTGGATTAGTTTGAAGGTCTAATTATGTTCTTCGATTGCAGGCAGCGCAGTCAGTGTTGATCTCGCTATTCCAGCTGAACACACCAGAGTTTACAATGCTTCTAGCTGCACTGCCCAAAACCTTTCAAGATGGAGCCACCAAATTGTTGCAGAACTACCTACGTAACACTGGAAACACAGCCCAGGTGAAAAACACATTACTAATGTAGTGACACACATCCACCAAGAATTTTACATGGATTGCTCATAAACTAAAATAATGTGAAATGTGCTAGAAGTGTCATTGTCCTGTAAAAAAATATTTTTAAATGAATGCAAAGTCATTAAGCTATTAGTATTATTAAAATTATTATTAAATACTTAATGAATTATATAAATGATTAAAATAAATATTAAATATTAAAGAGTTTATTTCATTTTTATAATTTAAATAATACAATAATATTTAGAATAATAATAATTTATTATTATTTGCATTTTCATTCATCCCATCAGCCAATTGTCGTTGTTTTTTTTTGCATTGGACTTGTCAGACAAATCACATTCAAAAATCGGATAAAATTTTCATGCTAAAGATTGTTTTGCGTAAATTAGGGGTGGCACGATACCATTTTTTCAGAACCGATCCCGATACGATACGAAAAGTTCTGAGTATCGGACAATACCGATACCGATCCGATACCAGCACAGGTTTTTTTTCTTTTCTTTTTTTCTCCTATACCTCAGTGTGTGTCGACCGGATCATCACTCTTTTGTGTATTACACACAATCTACTAAATATAGACAACCTCATTATAAAGAAAAATAACAAATTAAAAAATATATAATCATAATCTATGGGGAAAATACTATTACAAACTAGGTTTGTGGATAATTCAGCAGCAAAAGTTACTCTACAAAAATGATGAGTTCATAATCATTTTATAAAATCTAAACATTTAGAGAAAAAACATTATTTAGTGGGGGGAAAAAATAAAAGTAAATGGGTGTAATCTGGTCAAATGTTACACATTGCTCTTTGTATTGTAATATACATTCATGAAAAACAAGTAAATATAATTATATATAAATATATGCAATCAATTAAATACATTTCTTATACATTTATAGCACAGTAATGAGGCGGCAACATATGATAGATAAGACAGAACAAGAAAGGCTATTAACAATCTTTCATTGTGCAAAAGTATTATAACATGAAAGGCTCCATTACAGAGCGGCACAAAGCGCTTATCCCGTGTGCAGAATGATGGGCTTGAAGCAACACGAAGTTACAGCGCTCCGCATTGAGAAGTTCAAAGCACAAAGGGAAGAGATTCTAATGTGTAGTGTATTAAATCTGTGCATTAGTTTATTGAGCCTTTTCTTTTAACAGTTTAAAATTTTAGTTAATGTGCATGTGAAGAACAATTCATAGTGCTCTGTACTCCAGTGTAGTGATCTCTAACAGACACCCGGTAGAAAGTAACATGATTTAGAATTAGCTATAAACTCCAGCAAGATAAAGTCCTTTTATGCAAAACCGCTGATGTTTATCTACAGATCAAGTATAATAATAGGAACGTTGTTTCATCCTAGAGAGAGTTTCGTCGTCTTGACTGTCGTAACCGAACGCGACGCGCAGTTTGAATGCTGAATGGAGGATGACTGACAGCCGCAGCGGAGAGAAGAGTTTAGAGAACTTGAATTTAATGACTTAAATATTCATCTGTACCTCACATTAAACTATGGAACGGTCTCAGAACACTTGAAATATAGTGCACGGAAACTTCATGGTGCTTTATAATGTTTTTGTGCCTTTCGTGGAGCTTAACAATAACACAGAATAGTATACGCACTATATAGGATTTTAATCGGTCTCGTCTGACCGATACCCCGATCCAGCAGAAAATGCCAGTATCGGAGCGATATCGGATCGGCGCACCCCTAGCGTAAATGTTTAAGAATCACTTCTGAACCCATTTTCTGTCAGCACTAAAAAAAGTTTATTGCAGGCTCCAACGGGAAGCCCGCTCACCCGACACACTCCAAGATCACCAGCCAGTTGGTCGAGCCCTTTAACCTCCCCTACCAACACATCACAAAACACACCATCACCAAGGTATGCCACTGGATCACAAACTACAAACATGGACAAAGATTCACTTCACAAATGCTGTCATTTGAGTTGTGTAATTGTTTACTCAGAATTTCTCTGTGGCTAATGTCCAATGTCATTTCATGTGTGTGTGTGTGTGCGCGCAGTGCATTTGATTACGATACTGAGAACATGAACTCTGAGGAGATCTACAGCTCCCTGAGAGGAGTCAGTCAGGCCATCCAGAACTTTAGCGTCCGCAGCCAGGAGGACATGACTGAGCCACCGCGAAAAAGAGATGGAGATGGTGAAGAGGTAAGACAGACAAAACAAGTAAGAGATGATGCAGTCAATGAGTGCTGACAAAATAAATTAAAGCTGAATAGTGAAAATAAAAAATTAATAAATAAAAGCGAAGATCTTTTTAAATCAAAGAAATTAGGCTATAAATAATGGTATTTGTATTATTAAATTATCTCTTTCCCCACCAGCATTTTTGAAAAAAGTTGCCAGCCACCGCCAGCGATTTTGATGATTTTCACTCAAATTTGATGGCCTCCAGTATATTTTGCTGTATGAATATTTGAATATACAATACACCAAAATAAAAATCAGAGCCTCTACTTTTAAACAAACAAACAAACTCAGTTTTATTCTAGCTTAAAGCATTCAACATTTGAATATAGGTAGGTTTCATAAAAAATTCATAATTTTGAGCAAAGAGGTGAGAAAATCTAATTTTTTATCAAAAACTACATCTGGATAATATTCAGTACGATTATCAAAGCATAAATCCAGTAAATCGCTTCCATCAACACCTCCAAAGCTTGCACAGACATATTCCACTTCCTGGATCAACATTTTACACTGTAACATTATGCAGTTTTCATTTATATGCTGTCTATTGCTGATGATCACATTATTTTTCATATGCATCTGTTTACATAAGAGATCGCTAGTTTCTCCGTCCTGTTCAGTTGTGTTTTTGTTCGGGAGGTTTTGTACTCGTTCAGAAGATGTGTAATAACGCCCCTGAGTGTGTAACAGTGAAAACACGGAAAGCCGTAAAAACTTGTCTTTTGCGGGGAAGCGTTTTCTTGTAAAAGACGAGAATACTACTAAATTATATAATTTTTAGTATTATAGTATTATTACCAGAGTAATTTATTTTTGATTGGTTTAATTTATATAATTTAAATACTAATAAAAATTGTATTAGTTGTTGTTATTATATAGTCATACGGATTTTTTTTATAAAAGTTATTTCAAAATATTAAGAAATACTTGAATTGTATATAATTAATCCCAATATAACACTGCCAGTTTGATATACTGTACCAACTTGTGTTGGTATAAAAAGAGAGAGATCACAGAGTGATATGAAAGAACAGTTAAGCACTCATTATATAAAACCATTTTTGAATTTTCATCATTGAGATTGACCTATTAGAATCAAGTATTCCAGAGAGCCATGCAATAAAACTGTAGCACTGATGTGTGGAATTTGTGTCATGAATGTGTCTCTGTGCAGGGTGGTGATCAACCCACAGACTCTGGTCGGACGGCGCTGGATAACAAGACCTCTCTGCTAAATACTATGCCGCTCCTCTCCTCGAGTCCCCGCCCAACGAGGGAATACCAGCCAGTCAGCTACTCTGACTCCTTCAGCTCCTCCCCTTTTAATAAAAGCCTGAAAGATGCAGACCAAGATGCGGAGTCCTTCACTGATGGTAATGCACTCCCATAGCTATTTGTAGCTGCTTTGTGAAGTGTGTGCATGTAAGCACGTGTGTGGGTCTGACTTCATTTCTGCTGGTGGTGTTACAGACAGTGGTGTGGACCAGTCTGAGGTGGTTGCTGAGCTCCTAAAGGAGCTCTCGAATCACAGCGAGCGGGTGGAAGAGAGGAAAGCTGCGCTGTGTGAGCTAATGCGGCTGATTAGAGAAACGCAACTGCATGTTTGGGACGAGCACTTCAAAACCATCCTCCTGCTGCTCCTAGAAACACTTGGGGATGGAGAGGTGCATGCAAACATACACTCTCTAATATGAGGCATGAAGATGCGTCTTATTTACTTGCTGATGTTTTTTTTTCTCTCAGCATGTCATTCGGGCATTAGCACTGCGGGTGTTGAAGGAGATCCTAAACAGGCAGCCGTGGCGCTTTAAAAACTATGCTGAACTCACCATTATGAAGACCCTGGAAGCACATAAAGATCCACACAAAGAGGTCTGGGGTCCTTGACATGCAAAAGATCATGAATCACTTTAGACCAACAACCTAAACTAAAGCACAAATCTAAACCGAAGCACAAAATGTCCTTTTTTCTCTTTATTAGGTGGTACGGGCTGCAGAAGAGGCAGCGTCTGTGTTGGCGACCTCAATAAGTCCCGATCAGTGTATTAAGGTGTTGTGCCCCATCATCCAATCGGCAGATTACCCCATCAACCTGGCTGCCATCAAGATGCTCACCAAAGTCATTGACCGGCTACCCAAAGAGGGTCTTCTTCAAATGCTCCCTGAGATCGTCCCTGGGCTCATTCAGGTAAATACTGTATTTTATATAAACTAAATTTGGGGTCAGTAAACAGAGTTTCCTGAAATACTTACTCAGTGGCACCACAACGCCACTACTGAATCTATAGTGCAAAACAGACAGCATAATCAGTGTAATCTTTTTACAGAACAAATGATTTTTTGCACTGGTTCATTTTATTGAATCAAAAAGTACAACACAACTAGTGTGGTCCGACTCTTGTTTCCTTTTAGTGATTTAGAACTAATAGAAGAGTCCTTTTTAAAAAAAAATTTAAACAGCTTTCAACTGTGAGACTAAAAGGGATAGTTCACCCAAAATTGTATTATTTATTGATTTTCTTCTGTGGAACATAAAAGAAAATATTTTGAGAATGCCTCAGTGTTTATTGTCCATACAGGGGAAATCAGTGGTCACCAAAACTAGTTGGTTACCAGCATTCTTCAGAATACCTTCTTTTGTGTTCTGTTAAAGAAAGAAAGTCATACAGGTTTTGAATGACATGATGGTGAGTAATAGTGACAGAATATTCATTTTTGGGTGAACTATCCCTTTAAAAGCAGTGTACATTACCATTAAGGAATCTGACATTTTTAAATTCAGAACCAGAATTTTTAAATTATTCACCATTCCTAATTATATAGAAAAATATTTGTATGTTCCAGTTAATGACTTTCCATACTTTAGTTGAATGGTATGTCAGGACACAGATCTAGATGCTGTAGAACCTTGATAGTTCACTTCACTACGTGTTATTTAACCTCCCTTTGACACCCCCTAGTGGACATATCTAGGAAATAAACAAAATGCATTGACTTACCCTAATATTAAGCATCTGTGTATGGTAAAGGCTTTTGCTCTCCTTTGTAGGGTTATGATAACTCTGAGAGCAGTGTACGAAAGGCATGTGTATTTTGCCTTGTGGCCATCTATGCGATCATTGGAGAGGATCTGAAACCTCACCTCAGCCAGCTGTCTGGCAGCAAGGTGAGCCGTTTCCTCTTGCAAAACCTCTTTCCCTTTTCCTCTTTACTCATTATCTCGCTGTCTGTCGGTTTTATATTTCAAAACTTTTATAATCTATAACATGTACATTCTGTCTTTTCCCAGCTGAAACTGTTGAATTTGTATATAAAACGAGCTCAGAGCGGCTCCGGCGGAAGTGACCAGTCTTCAGATGTGGGAGGGCAGGGCCTGTAGCCGTGCTGTCACCATTCAGAACTACAGCATTCTCTTAGTGCAGGGGGACCCTTGCTGGATTTTTAACTCACATGCATACACAAACACCTACATACGCTTGCCTACAAGTACACAAAGCCGCATGCACCTACACTGCTGGACACCCTCCTCCGGCCCCACACACCTTCCAGTGGGACATGCGGCGAGGAGCAGCGTCGGACTGAAACTCTTCCTCCAAACTAGGATCACCGTCACTCTGTGTGCATGTCTGAGAAACCACTATCTGTGGCACAGATGGTGGACTGCTGATGTAGTTTTGTTGCCTGGTCAATGAGAAGATCATGTGTGTGCGTGCGTGTGTGTGTGTGTGTCAGATGGGGAGGGTGGAAATCCAGCAGAAAGAGGGGGATGTTGTGGGTGTCATTTGGTGCAACATGGAAATCATTTCTTTTTATCAAAGAGCTTTTGAGAAACTCAGATTTTTAAGATGAAGTTCAAAACTTCTTGGTCTGAGCGACGTGTCATTAACGTTCCTAATTGCTCACTATCGATTATAATTAACAGTCGTATCATTTCATAACAGTGAGCGGTTGGTCCAGCTTGCTCTATTATAAGGCATTCTTTGCTTGGCTTTATGCATGTCATGAATAAAACTGAACCTTTTTATCTGGTTGCATACATGGCTAAATGAGCCACGCGTCAGTCGTCCTGCACACCCAAGATTCTCATCGCAGTGAGGCCACATGTGATACCACACCACATAGGCAATATGTATCTATATATATATATATATATATATATATATACCATAACAAAGGAATATTCAAGAAGAGCTTATGTCCTGAGGGCGTGTGGATTCTTTTAAGTAGCATAGTGTCATTCTTCTCTGATGGGAAATTTGTAGAAATGTATTTACGCACCTAAATGCCGCAACTGTCTTGTCACTTCTTTCCTGTAGTGTCGGTCTTTCTCCCACCGTGAGGAAGTTCTCTTTCTTCCCGCTGCATTTCTAGAACTGTGCTAACGATAAAATTAAAATAAAGAAAATGTACAGTAATAAACTGTCTCCTTGTTATTTTTCTAAATGCCACCTCTGTACCTGGAAAAAAAAGACAACAAATGACTTCTGATTTAAAGGGATAATTGACCCAAAATTGAAATTTTTGTCATTTACTCACCTCCATGTTGTTCCAAACCTTTGACTATTTCCTTTTGTACTACTTGGACATATGGGCTGCTTTAAAAAAAAAAAAAAGTACACTACTGTTCAAAAGTTTGGGATCTGCTAGATTTTTTCATGTCTTTGAAAGAAGTCTCTTATGCTCACCAAGGCTGCATTTATTTGACCAAAAATACAGTAATGGCAATAATATTAGGAAATATAATTATATATATACATTTGAATATGTTAATATAGAATATGATTTGGTGCTTAGCCCCTTAACTGTCGCTCACATTTTTGAACATAGACTTGAAAGTGCACGATCCAAACTTAAATTTTTATAATTCATGAATGAAAACATTTTGTAACATGATTTTGATGTATCATTTTCATGGTAATGCAATGTCTGATTTTAAAATAGTTTTCAGAGGATTAATTTTGAGATTGTAAGTTTTCAATTGAAGGCCGTTTTATCAAAATGATTTTTTTTTCCTCCTACACTGAGCCATAAATCTCCACTTCAGTAGCGCTTACACACACCAAACTTTACATTTTTATTCCTGTCTACATCCTGAAGGTTTTTACAGGGGGATTTGTTCATATACAATTTGCTTGATTATATACAACATTTTATTTCCCAAAAAATTGTGAAAATATGGTGTTTTCTGTCAGTTCTAAGTATTTTCTGAATTATGGAGTGACAAAAATGAGATACCCAAAATTCCCTCTGTAAAAATATTTGACTCTAATTTGTCAAAAAAAATTAAACAAGAATTTTGAAACTGACACAATCCAGTGTTTAGATTTTTGTACCAGAAATGTATGCAAATTAGCACATATTTCATTAAATAATGACTCATTTGCATATTTAAACCTAACATTTAAGAAAACTTGTAATACACTTTTTTTTGCAATTATCAATGTAATCAATCAGCTGGGTAAGTAAGGCAATAACTATTAGTTATTTTTTTTACCCTATTCACCTGCAGATAAAATGATCAATGATGAAAACAGTTGTGCTGCTTTTGTGGAAACTGATACATTATCTTTTTGGGGGGATTCTTTGATGAATAGAATGTTGAAAAGAACAGCGTTTATTTGAAATATAAGTCTTTTGTAACATTAGAAATTCCTTTACTGCCAATTTTTTATCCGTGTAATGCACGCTTGCTGAATAAAATAAAGAATTTCGTTCACAAAAAAAAAAAAAAAAAGAACGACACTAAAGTTTTAAAAGGTCGTTTATGTTTCTGTCTCTGTGTTCAACATCATATTGCAGTCACGGCGGGGCGATCGCGTGCGCTGTCTCGGTGGATGAAGTTCACTGCTAATAAACAAGAAAGCAACGGCGTGACTCGATGTGAGACTGCCTTGGTCGCTTTTACTAGTTTTTCAGCTTTGATCGCGGGATTCGTAGATAGTAATGCAATGCTTTTCTGGCAGCTGCACACTGGGAGCTTTGAGAGTCGACAGCCCTACAACTGCAGGAACACACGGTCAAATTGAGCGCTACTGAATAACTCTTGTTTAATGGAAATTAAAGGCATAACTTTTATTGGTATTTCCGTCTGAATTCATGTTGAATTTGTTTTCTTAAGTTACATAAGTGTCACTGTATCTGTGTGTTTATATACACAATCGCACACATATATACTACGAACATTTCTTTACTGTTTATTCAGTTACATATAAGCTATATTATTATGTATTTCTCTCGTGGCCACTCGTGATGCGAAGGGTTTCTCATATCTGTCAGTCGAATCTGTTGTTTACTCTTAGTTAAATTACAGATTATATTCATTTATTATACACAATTTCAGATATTGCATAATTATTTAAATTATTATGCTGTATTGCTGTAATATGAAAACTATTTAGGAGTAGACAAAATGCAAACAGTAACAGTTAAGTTCAGCAAAATGTAAACAATAAAACAATTATGACGCAAAATTCATGATAATCAATCAATATATATATATATATACATATAAAACGTAATGTACAAAATATCAAAACATTATTTTGGCCAAAAAATAGGCTAATAAATTATGCCTGGTTGGACATTTATGAAAGACCTTATCATGAGAACACAGTTCAACATTTCTGTTAAAGTGTACTTCATTATATTTGACCCTTATCTGAATGTACACCAGTGTGCTTTTATTGTGTTCACTTATTGCCCATCATCAGCCATAGCTAAAGTATGATGATGAACTAGGTGTTTAAAACCAACACACAAAACCAACTGCTAGAAAAGCATTAATGTATTTGAAATTTTGACTTAAACTTGCAGTGTAAAAGTGCTTTTATCACATGCTTAAAATTACTTAAAATCACTTGTCTGTAATGAGCCATTAAAGTGCAGTAAAGTCAGAACCGATGAGAAATGTCATTATAATCATCCTCTTTGCTGGCCTCTTTTGGCCATTGTAAACCTTACAAATAGGTCTGGGTGACAGACTATTCTGCTATTTCCCTGTTTCTCCCACTTACTCCATAACTGCCATCTGAAAAGTATGTATTTATACGTTTGCAAATATTGTTTCTCAAGGACACCAGCGCCCTCAGTTAAAAAAATAATCAAGTATTTCCCAGCTGTCTCACAGAGCTGACTAAATTCCCAGCTGTAAACACCCGAGGCCGTTTTGTTTATAGGTTGGCGGTCTGTTTAAGAGAACCTAATCGTGTTCAAAGGCCCATCTGCCTTCTTGTCCAGACCACCACAACAACAACAGGTTAAAAACACCCAAAACGTGTCCTTGAGTGGCCATCCCTGTTTTTCAGAATGTATTTTCAGAGCAAAAACAGGCCCGATGGGTTCTGAATATCTCACGCTGCTGGGCCTCATTTATCACTAGACAGCAAAAGCAGCTATCTGTCTGTATCTATATTTTCTTGTCATTTTACAGCAATGTTGATATGGACTTTGGCTGTCAGCTGTAGATCTGAGGTTTTGAGCATAAACGTGTTGATTGTGATCTATAAACATAATCTTATATATTGAACAAGTTTGCATTTCTTCCACCAGGTGACCTTACGTTTAATATATGCGCTGTAAGTTAAAGGTAATATTGTGTTTGGAAGTCGAGAGTGACTACGGTGCGTCGGAGCGCTAGTTTAGGAAGAAGATGACGACAGATACCCGGGAGCTGATTGGCTGAGCGCAGCTCGCAGAGCAACGTGATTGGCTGTCAGATTCCCGACCCTGATCCCTGCTGCGGCCGCAGCTGCAGCTATCTCGCGTTTGGGGTTTGAATGGTGAAGACAGAGGGCCGTGTCGATGTGTTGTGATCTTTGGCCTTTTTCCGAAAGACCAAACGGGCGGGTCAGCACGATGAAATTAGGCGAACGCTTTTGGAGAGTAGAGCGCGTAAAGACACCGTACCGCGTTTAGGTGAAAGCGAGCGAGCTCTGCCAACCCAATTCCTCGAGCGGACATTGCGTGTGAATGCGGTGACAGTCAACAGCGTCCTCCCACCCTGCTTTTATATAATGGAAGATCGCATACAGATATGATGTGCTGATGTATACGGGATAACACACGGGAGCTGGAAACGGATAATACGGAGTTGCGTGGAGGGTTGAGTTGACTTTGCGACGCCTCGGTTCATCTCGAGACTCTTATTTGTCGCCTGTGTTATTGTGAAACTGAAGCAATGGCGAGGCACACGGTAGTCGGGGCTAGAGCCGTTTGCCCTGCTTTCAACAGCTAGCCTTCCGCGGGTGGCCACCTAACTTAACCAACTCTAGTAGGACTAGCTGACTCCTGCGGCAACGCGAGCTCCGCGCAGGGGCTGTCTGTACGAGGCGAAGCTGGCGGCGCTCCGGTTAGAGTCGGAGGAGAAGGACCTGGGCGCCATGGCGTGGGTGCTGAAGATGGACGATGCTACCATCGAGTCTGGGCTCGTGCACGACTTCGATGCCAGTTTGTCTGGCATCGGCCAGGAGCTCGGGGCTGGCGCGTACAGCATGAGGTTAGAGCAGCATGCAAACCGATCAGCAGCTTCACAAGAGTCCCTAAGCCGGGGGCGATGCATCTGTGACGGCGAGCTAGTTGGCTAACTTAGCTGTCGTGATCGCAGTGTTTACATTGCGAACCTCGGGATTCCAGGCGGGTTGTGTTTATTGGTTTAAAAAAAAAATCATAATTTGATATCCTTATTTATCATTTGGCAACTTCGCGAGATTGTTTTGTCGTCTGCTGGATGCAGTGTGGCTCTGCGAGAGTTGCTATAGCTAGCTCAAAACAATAGACAACGAGTTGCATCCTTATGTTGTCTGACCATCTTGAGAACTAACGAGACCTGTGGCCGGTTGCATAAACTGCTTAGACTACTCTTAAAAGTTAGACACCTAATTATTTTCTGCAAGACTGGGCATACTTTTTATTTTATTTTTATTTTTTTTAAGTAATTTACATAAAAACGTAGATTGTTGCCTTGTCTAATTTGAATCTGAAAAGTAAGACCGACAACCACTTGGTTAACTGCTAGTTAGTCAAACTAGTTCTTAACGTGGCGACTGTTAATTCAACTGGCCCCTGGTTGTAGAGCTCCTTTCGAGTAACGTGAGCCATAACGCGGCCGCACTGAAACGATAACAAGCGCGTTTGAAGTTATGTTACTTCCTGGAGCAGGGTGTTCTCTGAGATGCGAAATTAACAGTTATAAAGAGTTAGTTTAAGTATAGTAATTACATTTCAATCTTATCTCTTCGCACGTATTGTTTTAAGGGCATTCAAATGTTTCGTGAATAGCGTTTTTACTGATTGAAGAACTCGAGCTCCATGACGTCATACGCTACTGCGCGTAGAGGCTATGATTACGTCACAGAACTGTTAGGGTGACTCAGGAAGAGTTGATGCAATATTTAGGATGAGGGCCATATCCTCGGGTA